AGACAGTACTGGAACAGCTCAGTTACTTTATGAGCTCTCACCTGCTAGACAGAATCTCGCCATACTGAATCTAAACTCCCCAAGCCAGCAACTAAACACTACGAATTCCTTAGGGTGGTGCCAGTCTCATCCTCTTCGCTTTCCCATGCTCACACTGGGGGCTGAGGAGATGCTTCTGTCCTTGACCCCTCTCATTCCATTCCATTCCATCACAGGTGGTGATGCTAGCGCTGGGAGCGGCTGCAAATATAGATTATCATTAGCAGAGAGGTCTGACTGCACAGAGACCATAATAAATCAATTGCTTGCAGACTCATATCAAAACCTTATCATGTAATGCACTTGAATCATCCCGAAACCACCACCCCCCCAGGTCTGTGGAAAAATTGTCTTCCAAGAAACTGGTCCCTGGTGCCAAAAAGGTTGGGGATCACTGCTGTATAGTATATAATATATACTATATTATTAATAATAGTTTACTATTTCATTATATTAAATTAACAAAAATGTATTTATACATATAATTCTGTTAACATAGTCATATAATATTGAAAAGAAGGAATAAGGAAAAGGGAAAAAAGCCTGGGAAATTAAATCATAAACAAAGTATTTGAAAAGAAGGAACAAAACATTCAAGTCCTCTTCAGAAATATTTAAATTTGTTTTTTTTCCCCCCAACAAACCCAATAAATTATAGATTAGCATCACATACAAACCCAACCACACAGTTGGATGGACATTGCTATTTGTGTGAAAACAATTATGATGTATTAGGAGTAAAGGAGTAAAGATTTTCATTTGTACTCTTGAAAAAAACAGTTATCCTGATAGTATGTTCTGCTGTTGATATTGCTTATCATATATTGATTTTCATCATAACGTAAAATAATTTAAGCACATTTTTCATGTCTTAAAGGTTTTGTCTGGCCCTGAAATCAATGAAACTAAAAATATGATAATTCAAAGGGTATCTGTTTATAAATGCACAGTGTTGCCATATCATTAACAGATTTGGAAATCCACCTAGATATGTCTGTTGCTAATTATAGAGCATGTGGGAGAGAACTAGGCCTCAGCAACATTGGTAGGTGGGGTCAAAAAAGGCAAGGCAACAGTTGTGGCATCTCAATTGAAGCCCCACCCCTTTTCCTACAAAGGGGCAGGGTTTAAATTGTGATGCCACAATCGCTTTTTTACTGTTTTGCCCCCTCTCCGGCAGACACCACTACTTGGCTTACCCCTTTTCACATGCATTTCAGTCTTGGTGTGAAGATTGCTATAGTTTTATTGTACAGCTTTTAGTTGATGAAAGAAATAACTTGAAATATTCTTGCCAGATTTTTATTTTTTATTTTTCTGTTTTCTTTCAAGGTGGGAAATGCACCCAAAAAAAAAAAAAGTAATTGTCGCTGTGTATTCTAACTGCTTTGTTGTCAGTAATTGTAAATGAGCCCCTCTGTGCTTATGTAACAGAATAAAAAAGCTATGTTTACTATGTTTACATTGGTTAGTTTCTGAGTGTTTTGTAGAAAGGGGAAAAACCATGATCCATTCACTAACTGACTCCAGAGAAAGACATGAGTTGAAGAGAGGGAATCTGTGGGTGCTGGAGAAAAAAATAAATCCTAAATAAGGATCTCAGATAAATCAAACCACTCAAACTGAGAAAGAACATCTTTGCATAAAGTTCATGTCCTTTGTTGTCTATTCACCAACGCTGTGCAGATCCTTCAAAACAGGTGCTTTGAAACATGCTTTGGAAATACTATTCAGAGTATGAAAACTAAATGATATGAGCTTAAACTGTTAATTCTGGGAGGAAGCATATAATTTAATAGTTATAATAGTGACCTGGTGGGATATAGCAATTGAAGGAGTGAATATAGCAATTGAACAATACAATTTGTTTAAAAAGAAAATAAGCAGGGGAAAGGGAGAAGTTGTACTCTATAATAAAACAAGTAAAAGCAATAGTGATGTTAGTGTCTACTATTTTCTGCCCAACCAACGAGAAGATGGGAATTGTTCTTTCCTAAAGCATATTGTCCATTTTCCAAGAGGCATTTAATTTGCTTTCACAAAAGCTAAACAGATTTGGACCTGAAATAGGACTTTAATGGGTAACCACCTATTCAAGAGCTACTTGTGCTACTTCAGCAAGAGCTGAAGACTGGGAAGTAGAAAAACATCCCCAAAGTGAATAGCAAGCCTCCATATTGTTGCCAAGTAAATGACATGAAGATTTCTATGGAGTCAGGAGAAGTTGAGAAAAACTTGAGATTTACCTTCAACTCAAAAATAGCATGGAGTAATAGTAATGGGGAACTTCTATTACCCTGACAAATTCTGCCAAGTTTTTCTAGGAAACTTCTGAGTTGTTTATAGCTTTTTCCTTCAGAAGTTAGGGGAAGGAATAATGGGATCAACAATCTTTGATTTCATACAAACCAGTAAGTAAGTTAAAAAACAGGAAGTAGCAGGAACTTTGGGGGAAATTCCCATCTAATCCTGCTTTTAAGGGAAATTACTATTCCGTATAGTGATATATGTATCTTTGATCTCAGAAAAGCAGATTTTAATAAATTCAGAGCTTTGATAAATAGGATTCAGTAACAGGAAAAGTTACAGGAAAAAGGGTTAGGAGTAGTTTCAAATTCCTTTAAAAAAGATACTGAAGGAACAATTGCAAATAATTTTAATTAGGAAAAATGGAGGACAATAGATGTACAAAATTCAGAAGAATAGAGCACAACACTGAGGAGAAATAACCAACTGTTTATTTCAATAATTGTTGGGTTCCAGCTTCACATGGAGAGGAACAGAAAACAATACAAATGTAAGACTTTTTATAAGAATTTTGAATTGTAGAGTGGGAAATTCTAGGGCTCTGGTTCATTGTCAGAATCTTGGAACAAACAATATAGGGAAAACCAGATAAGTTTGATTGTGTAAGGAGAGTTTTTTTTATTGTTAACAGAAAATGGTGCTTTTTCACGTGGCAGCAGTGCTGGAAATAACTGTTATCTATTGTTAGCAAGCAGAGGAAATGGATGGGATTAAGCAGAAGATTTGTTAACATTTAAACAAAGATAAGATCTTCGTTTAAATGTTAATGAAGTGTCTGTGCCATCCTGTATGCTCCCTATGTTCCACAAAAATGCATTGCCTCAGAGATATAAAAAAAAAAAGAGAAAAAAGAATTTCCAAACCAGAAAGAGGGTTGATAGTAGCAGCCAGAGATCTTTTAGGGATCTCCCAGAACTGTTGTTTGAAAAACAGGGATCTCCCAGATTATTATTATTGAAAAACAGAAAAGTTTTAAGAAAAGAACACTGGGGATACATCATACTATCAAATGTAAATGGTAATTTCAGAAACTGTACTTTTGTACCAAATCAATATTTCAATATATAGTGTCTAAAATTTCATAATCACTACTGTGCATACACTGAAAAAAAATGATCAAAAAGGAATAGCATAGTAATAAAAACTCTTAAATATCTATGTTCAAAGAGTTAAAAATTTCCACTCTTTCAATAATTATTTTGTAATTATTTTTAATTTATTCATTGGTTTTGTAGAAAGGGGAAAAACCATGATCCATTCAC